TAGACTAACTGCGCCTTAAGGTTGAGCGAAATGTCGCGCTAGTCGTTATTTGTGCGGTTTTTAGGAGCTATCTACTTTTTATTTAAAAGATATATCAACTAATAAAAAACACATTATATTTCTACATAATCTTGATTCTATAAGAGCTATATCCAATTTTTTAAAGGAATAAATATTAATATATTCTCCTTACAACGAAACAACATAAATGTGAAATAATTATTGATAACATGCATCTCCTCGTAAAGTAAGTATTATTTTATTTTGCGATTTATACCAATGGATAGGCAATTTATTAATGAACATTTCTATTATAATTTTTTTTTTTCAAAAGACCAATATTTGATTTTTATTAAGAAATTATTTTAAAATCTGGGCATATTCACTGCCCACGGGCTTGCTGAAGTCAGTGAGCGCTGAGAACGTGAAACTCGTGTCGTTAGTCAGAGCGTCGGCCAGCGCACACGCTCACGTCATTTTATCAGTCGATAATATTATTACTTATTAGGTTATTTATAGGTTTGTAGGTAATTTGTTTGTTTTGGGTATAATTTTTCGTATTAGTTATACATATATTTGTTGTGTTTTTTACTGCGCGATGAAGCTTTTTGCGTGTATTTTCTTTGAAGTAAATGCAAATATAAAAATTAAGCACCATTAGCATGTAAGGTTTGGTTTGAATTGGGCGTTTAATTTGGTCTATGGTCGTCTAATAAGGCCCGGTCGGGTAAGTCGGCCTATAGGCTACTAATTCGGCCTAGGCGTCTAAGTTGGCCTATCTGCGGCATTGCGGGTTATTACTCGACTCTCTAACTAAACTGACCATTTATTTTTTAACTCAAAACGGGACATGGGTTTATTTCTACTCTAAAAACTATAACTTTATACAATTAGTGTTCACTATAAAATTATATTCGGTATAGACGGTAATTATTAAATGTAACATATTTTTTAAATTATTAATTACATTTGTCAGTGGATTAAATTTGCTTTAATAAAGTTGGTGATGATTTTAAATAAGAATAAAATTCTGGGCAAGTTTTTTTTTATTGTTACCTTTGTTAACAACATCGCCTTTAGAACTGGAACCGTAAGTGATCTTTTCAGACGTCCACAATTTATTCAAAATAGAAAAATACTCTTTCTACTGGAGCATTTGTACCAGGTAGACATAAAATATATTCGATTAAAAAAATTATGTTGAAGATTGTTGGCTTTGAATACTTCCATCCAACGAGTTACGGGACAATTTTGTATCCCGGAGCTTTATTTGGGGACAATGGGACAGGTGACAGTTCAAAACAGGACGTATGGCCACTTTACCTATAACCCGGCGACGGCTCCGTGGCGTAGTGGCTTAGCAATCAGTTGCTGCGCTGGGGGCCGCGGGTTCGAATCCCGCACGGAACAAGTAAGTATTTGTAAGGCCTACAAATAATTGTTCCGGGTCTGGATGTTTGTCCTTGAGCAATTTATGTTTGTCAATCCACGACTCTCATTCTATATTACTTTCACTCTGCGAAACATCCTATTTATTTATTTATTCTTTATTGCACCAAATATTTGTACAAAAGGGTAGGTATCTTTTAAACTCACAATTTTCAATACTTCATTTTTAATATATAATACATGAGAATACATAATTCTAATATTATAATGCAACTAATATACCGAATAAAAAAATTAAAATACATTTATCGTTGTACGCTGTGTGTATTTCCATAAAATAGTTTATTGATGTTGAAAAAATACTACGTTCGTACAGTAGGTGGTGTCTTACATATTTCTTACGCGATATATTGTAGCGAGTCGGCGCGGCACACCAAATGCTCATTCTCATGCAAATAGTCGTTCGCATGTAGTAGTATATAAATCGGTAAGATATGAAATCGTGGATTGTGAAGAGTGATTTGGATATAATAACTTTATTTGATAAAATTAATTTTATTCATTTGATAATGTAATGTTTTCACTCTTTATTTTAACATTTAGAATTTATTTAAGCCATGTTTAAAGAACTTCACACAGAGTCGAACTCGCTTATTCTCTTTCGGTTCTCATAGGGTGGCCAGGCATCGTTCGCGCACCAAACCAAGTGTTGAATTATTTTAATTTTTCATTATCTCTTAAACTATGCGTCCAAATAACATGCTATATAGAGCAAAGTTAATCTTCATAAAATTGTCTTGATGATAAAGAAACTTTCGTTCGTAAGGATTAATAACCCTTTTTTTTTTTTTTTTTTTTTTTTTGCGGATGGAAAATCATCAAATGACGCCTTTCGCTCTGGGTGGAGCGGAAGGGAGTGTCAGACTTTTACTGACTAAAAACCATCCGTGTTCCTTCAGTGCCCTTACGTTCCGGAGCCGCGGTATCTCTTTCGAACAGCCCGCAGCCCCGGCAGGCGTCGGCCCTTGCGGGCCCCTTCACGCTGCTGACAGCTCTTTGAGGCGCGCGTGGAACAAAACGCGCCGTCGACACGGCCTGTCGTCGTTAGACGGACGGACGGCGAGCTACCCATTGCTCGCCGTCCACAGGCCCGCGCCTACGGTGGCCGGGGGCCACGACGTAGCCCCCGACGCCCGGGGCGTCTCCCGCGGCGGCCGGGAAGGAAAGCTGCTGCTCTCTCCTTCTCCCGCTCCGCCACCTCCTTCGCTAGCATCACTGCTTCGCAGAAGGTGGTGACGGCATCCCATTCCGTCTCGCTCCGAACCATGGCTTCGACCAGGGCCGGACGCGAGAGGTCGCCGCCGCCTATCGCCGCTACGAGGACACGGCGGTGCTCCGCCCAGGCAGGGCACACCTCCACGGTGTGCTCCACCGTGTCCTCCGGTCGATCCTCGCAGTGGGAGCACCCGGGCGTTTCCTCCCGCCCGATTCGGTGCAGGAACCTCCCGAACACACCGTGTCCGGTGAGAACCTGCGTCAGGCGGAAGGTGAGGACGCCGTGGCGTCTCTCAAGCCACTCCTCAAAGAGGGGTCTTATCGCCGCTATAGTGGCGTGCCCAAAGGATTAATAACCCTACCTACTTCATTTTATTACTAGGCTATGCCTAATAATAACGTTCATAAATCACTTTTTAATTTTTAATATTTTTTGTCACAGATTATTATGGCTTAAGGTGTATTTATTTATTTATTTATTCTTTATTGCATTCCTTAACCTAAAAGAATACAAAGGGCGGACTTAATGCCTTGTGGCATTCTCTACCAGTCAACCCATGGAGTGGTGAGAATTTGAAGTAGGTGTAGCAATATAGAATAAAAAGAAAATAGAAATGTATAATTAATTACATTATATATACATTTTACTATTATATACAATAAATAAACTATAAAAATATATCCTATTTATACATGTATACAAATATATACGTACATACATAAGCATACATATATTCATACCAACATACATATACAAATAATACATATAAATAACTATAAATATATACGTCTAAAATATAAATGACATGGATGATTCATCTAAGAAGCGTTGTCTTTAACAGATAGATGATTACGCACCAACTTTTTAAAAGCAAACTTATTGGGAGCTTTTCTGATGTCGTCAGGCAAGGAGTTCCAAAGGCGTGCAGCCTGAACTGTAAAGGAGTTACCATAGAACTCGGTGAAGTGAACTGGAATACATATTTTGTTGTTAGAAGACGAACGTAGAACCCCATCATGAGATGAGGAGAGATAGTGAAATTTGCTCTTAAGATAAGAAGGCGAAAATGGGTCATTTAATATGGAAAAAAGAACAAGTAATATTCTGGAAATACGCCTCTGCCGGATTGTAAGCCAATTAAGCTTAGATCTATATTGCGAAATATGGTCATACTTACGAAGCCCGAAAATAAATCTTATACAGTTATTGAGAAGGCTTGTTCAGAAGATCCTGGGACAGATCCGGGTAACACACATCTGCATAATCAATTATGGGTAATATGAGTGATTGGACAAGCATGATCTTAGACTTTGTGGGGAGAAAATGTTTTAAACGATACAGAGTACGTAACGTAGCAGTGACTTTACGACTGACTTCAGTAACCTGAGTTCTTCAATTCAGCGTGTTGTCAATGTGTAGGCCAAGATTTTTTACAGACTTACTGAACGGTATTGTAATCCCATTGTAGTAGATAGAGGGTATGTCTGCAAGATTAATCTTGGCTAGCATCCTTGAGCTACCCACCAGTATAGCTTGGCATTTTGAAGGATTGACCAATACTCCATGACGAGTAGACCAATCCTGTGTATAAGAAATAGGACTACGGTATCACGGACTTTTGTTTAGATGGAGGAACGATCTATATTTTTTGAATAACATAGCATTTACGTATCACTAACCATTACGCCAGCGTACACAGATTAAGCAGTTCGGAAGCGCTTTTTCTTCCGACTTGCTTAACAAAAATCAACATTTAAGGCTTGCGGAGAAGTGTAGCCTAATGCTAGTCAGCTTATAATATTGCTCCTAAATTTGGCTATCATATACAAAAATAATTTATAAAATCGGACTGGTAGTTACAGAAATTAGCGTGTTTAAACAAACAAACAAAAAACCTTTTTCGCTTTATTATATTAGTATATATTTTATCTCATTCTCTCCTATAGATTTATGTATTTGTCTCTTTTGAGTATCGCTTTTACGTTTAGATCTTAAAGAAGTTTCCATTTCAGAAAATTTTTTTCAAAAATTAATCATATCCTACCAAAACTATAAATATAAAGAGGAGGCAGGTATAAACGACATTCGAGGTTGTCTGCTTTGCTTCGGGAGCTTGGATTTCAACTCTTTACACCGAACGTCGTTTGTACCAAACTCTTTATACAATAATGATAGATATATATATATATATATATATATATATATATATATATATATATATATATATATATATAATTTCACATTTATGATCTAAAATAAAATTACGCTGTAAAATTAATTGTTGCTACGACTTAAAAAATTTAATTTTTGGTACTTTAATGAAAAATGCAATATTCTAGTAAATATTTAATTTTATAAGACAATTACAATTTTAGCATTTGTCTTTTAAGTTAACGAGTAAAACAGCTCAAAGAAAAGAAACTAAGAAGTTTCAATTTTAATTATCTAGAACAACTAACTAACTAACATAGGTTTATTTGCATCTAGATTGACACCTTTTTCTTTTCTGAAAGCATTGATAAGGAAATCATCAGCAAATATTTTTCTATTTCCTTTATAGTAATCTTCAATTTGGGCTAAAGTCTTCTTTTCAGTTTCTGGCAAGAAAAAATACATGTACACAGTTCCAATGAATATTAGAGCTGAGTAGATTGCAAATGTACCGCTTATGTGGAAAGTTGCTTCTAAATTATAGTTCGTCTTTGTTGCTAAGAAAACTATGAAGTAATTTAAAGCTGCAGCGAGTCCTGTTGCAGTACCTCGACTCCTGAAAATTAAATATTAACAATATGTGAATATAATTATTAAGTAATATTATACCGCGGAAATGAATGGCAAAGTCGGCAAAGAACTTCCTAGACATAAGTTGAAAATCGTAAAAACATCGGCAATACATTTCGCAAACAAGGTGTACACCAGGTCACATCTCAACTATTGCCCATTAGCTGACATGATTGTCGACTCCAATTTTCTTCCCTATTCCTTACATTTTCCAAACCTATCGGGTAAGAGATATCCAATAGATACATTTTTCTAACTCTTTTGACATATTGCACAACCTTTTCGATCACATCCTTTTTTCTACATTTCCCTTTTGTTTTCTTACTCGATTGTGGTATAATCATCTTACAAGCTGAATTTAGGCAAGCAACCTGCAACTATGTGATGAAACTTGGGGGAGACGTTTGTTCAGCAGCAGTGGACCTTTTTATGCTTATGTATAGATGGACAGGTGTGAAATAGCCAACCCATACTGGAGTAGCTTGTGAAATTTTCTCTGCTCCACACTCTTTCAGAATTTTCTTTTTAAGGTTGTATTTGCGGGTGTTTGGAACTGCAGAATACTTTTAATGTACTCTTTTCTGCCGATTTCAAAAAAGGAGACGGTACTCAATTCGACTGTTTTCTTTTTGTTTTTGTTTTATGTGTGTTACCTCATAACTTTTTACTGGGTAAAACTATTTCAATGATTCCTTTTTATATGAAAGCTGATACATCTTGTGTAGTCTCGTATGAATTTGATCGAGGTCAGATCAATAGTTTTTGAGTTATTCTTAATAACTTATATTGAAGTCGTCTGTACAAGTTTTTTAATTTTAAATTATTTTTATTTGTAAGCGGAAGCAGGCTTCCTTAATTTCTTCTTTGATAAAAAAGGAGATATAAAAGAATGTGAAACGACATTAGTAAGAAAAGTTTTACAGCTTAGTTTCAAATTTAGTTTCAAATTTTACAATACGCGATCAATACAGATTCAATCCTCACCGGCACCAAAGAATCCATCAGCTGCAATATTACGTGCTGATTTATCACGTGCTCGAATCTGTAGTAAAACGTTGTGATAAAACTCACATGTCTGAGCATCAAAATATTTAGAAGACATAAAAACTCTCAAGACACAGGAGCAGCGCTGGGGACTAATTGCTACACAACCCTCTCAGAAATGAGAAGAGGCCTTTGACTATGTAAGCTGTAACTTTACTCACCTAAAAGGAAAAACTTCGGTTAGTAAAGCCCATGGGATTCCTAAGCTCGTAAAGCACACCAATGCCATAAAAAGTATAATTGGTAAAGTCTCTTTCGCTTCAGGAAATGTGTCAGCTTCGTAAGAGAAGACGGATGCAGGTATTTTGCTGCTTGCGTAGACGCTAATACCAAGGCTGCAAAAAGCTGTTGCTAAAAGGGAACCGATGATCAGTTTCCTTTTCCCCATCATTTTTACCATTATAGCTGCCGTTATATTCATAACTATGAATACAGCTCCCACGACTACCTAAAAATATTTAATTTATCAAATTTAAACAAAAACAATTATATCGAGACCTTTTATTAGATAAAGTTATGACCTGATGAGACACAGGGTATTTTTAGAATAGGCATTTGCCTAAAAGAGAACTAGTGATGGTCTGCCATGATGATGGGCTATACAAATAATATAAAACATTGAAGTAAGAATTTTTCTTAGTTAATAACACGTTCTGAAAGAATACCAGCGTAAAATAGCAGCTTAATGCTGCTGTCTTTTGTATGGTACGTGTAAAGAACCGGAGACCCTTTTTACTGGAAAAGAGGCATCCTATCTTAGTCCTCATGGCTGACAACGCATCTGCAATTAAATTCCCAAACGAAGATAGATGTAGATGTCTATGGGCCACAGCAACCACTTAGCGTCAAGTGAACTGTGTGCTCGTTTGTCACCCTTATTCTATAATATATCTTTATATATATAAATTACGTGTCTTGTTGTTTATCCGAGATGAACTCCTAAACTACTAAAATGATTGTAATGAAAATATTTTGTACACTGTGTGCAGTTTGGTTCAATTTAAGAGATAGGATAGTTTTTTATCCCGATAAGTGACCTTCAATATTTTTTATTGCGAATTTAAGGATTTTTTCATAGGAAGGGTCGTCGGAAAGGGCAGAACAACGCCTGCCTGGCTGGATATCCTCGTTTCGAATTTTATGCCACAGACAAATTCCGAGAATAGCTCTTTCCATCGTACCATTAGCGACTTTGAGCTTCATAATATGGCCAGCAGTAAAGGAAAACTTTCGAGTTTTGTAAGTCATCACTGGCAAGTGGCAACATACAGTTGTAAACTAATCTTAAAATTCTGAGCAATATCGCACGAGAATATTTCTTTCTGTTTTCCAAACACAGCCCAGCTTAATTGGAACCTCTTTGTCCCAATCGGACTTACATAATCGGACGTAGAAGAAGGCATATTGATCAGTAGTTCTGTAAAAGAGTTTTATCACATTTCTTTAAAAATACTACAGAGAATGGAATTAAATAGCTATTGACGAAGTTTAAGTATAACTTTGCAATCTGATTTCAGAAGTATTGCTGTCTTCCTTACTCGGCGCTTTGCTGTTCTTAAGTTGTTAGAGAGCCATTATGAACTCGCTCAAACTGACGACCGAGGTATCAACAGAATAGTGTCGGAAGAGTCTTGTCCTTAGGTCGCGTGTGGAGTGACAGCCTCGTACTGGCAAGAACAGTGTTGGCGACCCCCCACTATATGATGTGACGACCTGATAAAACACGTAGCTAGTCGATGGATGCAGGTAGCTCAGGACCGTACTTCGTAGCAATCTACGGAGGATGTATAATATGTTCAACAGTGGCCTTGTGATGGACTGTAGTGACAGTGACAGACATAGTGATAGTGATAGAATAATATATTTTTCAGTTGCTACTATAAGAATTCGCAGTGTAGTGACGTCACGGCGTAAGAGATTCCGCTACCCCATATTGTACCATGGGTATTGTAAATGGCGATAGACGAAAAGTGTAACAAGAGATGGGCAGCAACATCTTCCTGATAACTCAAAATCTGCGGTTGCAAGCTCGCCTACTGAAATAGGAAACTATGACATATCCCCGCTATGATGCAATCAATGGGGGAGATGTTTAGCAGTGAACTTTGAAAGGCTGTAATGATAATGATGATAATAATAATACAAGAGTGGCGAAAATTCAGTTAAAACGTTAAAAGTTGCCAGCTGCGCATTTCAAACAAAACAGAAGCATTTATTCTTAACTCATTTGTATTGTATGATGTTTGTGCAATAAGAAAAAACTAAATGATTAAAAACAAAGTATTGTTTAGATTATGAAATCAAGATTATTAATTTTTTTACTGTGCAATGTACAAATATTGTTTTTAGCTGGTTTTTGAGCTTAGGACGCAGTAATCAGATAAATAATACTGTTACACTTACCACAATGGTTTTAGAATCATACTTCATCCCCAATGCTTTACAGAAGTTGACCATATTCGGTCGAACAGGATTTAAACCACTTAAATTGTGGAAGAAAAAGTAGGCCATAACCAGTGCGAATGGCCTCAATGTCTCTTTTACAAGTAATATATGTTTGATCTTAAATACAATCCTCTTAATGATGTTATAATTTGAATGTTTACAATGGTCTGTTTCACTTCTGCCTTCTTTTGCACAGATAACACACTGCTTGATAACATCGTGGTATTGAAGCAGTTGCTCGAACTCCTCCTTAACATGCTCTGGCTTGGTCCATCCCCTGAGTCGACATAGCGACCTTAACGCTTCTTTTTGGCGACCTTTGGATAGCAACCAGATCGGAGTTTCAGGAACCTGAAATTAGTTTACCTTAAAGTTAAATGTAGGTATTGCATTATTTTTCTGCCGACTTCCAAAAAGGAGACGATATTCAATTCGACTGTATGTTTTTTTTTATGTGTGTTACCTCATAACTTTTGATTGCGTGAACCGATTTCGATGATTCTATTTTTATTTGAAAGCTGGTACTTCTCTTGTGGTCCCATATGAATGTGATTAAGGTTAGACCAATACTGACACGTAATAATTATAACATTATAGAACATTGTGGTATAACATATACCACAATGTTCTATAATGTTATAATTATCTTTAAAACGCAGTAAGCAAAAGTATTAAAGAACGTAATAAATATTAGATAGAAAAATATTTTAACCTTATTATCTACTTCTAAAGTACAATAGTTAACCAATTTCATCGATAGATGGTGGTGTTGTATAAATGTAATGCAAAAAGGCAGGTCGTGGTTTTTTCCTGTAGATGAGTTTTCATATTTGCTGCTAATCTTTATTCACACAACAAACTCATTTGTTCTTTACCGCCGAGTACTCTATGTGGTAAATCAAATTTTAAAAAAACTATTAAAAATTTCGTTGGTTTCGGCGAAGATAAAACTTTCTTTTTTGCTTACTATGCAGGCACTGTTTTATAAGTGTTTTTATGTTTTATGTAATGTATCAATTGCGTCAATTAATCTCTTTTATTTTTAGAATTGATGTTAACAGCGCCATCTGTCTTTAAATCTATAGTTACATATAATAAAAATAGTGATAACATGTTGTGTCTGTTGCTGTGCATTTGTTGATCGAAGTGCATTGTATAGTATGTTTGAGGCTAAATCATTATGGGGACTGAAAATCATTAAATAAGTACATTTTTATATATTTTAGAATTGTCTGTCTGTCTGTGTCCTTATGAACGCATCACGTTTTGAATAAACATCTTTTCTCAAAGAAGTCGAAAATCATAAGGCGTATCCTCGAGTTCATTTTTAATCTTCGTTTTATTAAAATTGGTTAATTCTATCGAAAGTTATGTTTATTATTTTGAAATCTAGGTTCGAATCTGTTTAAAGGCGCCATAAAATCTCAGAAATAGTAATAAAAAGATTCATGTGTAGAAAAAACGTTCTATTATAATATATTTATACTTAAAACACAGTCAACAAAAAAAAAATGTTTTCCTTAATTTAAAAGAGGATGTTTTCTCACAAAGAACGTAATAGATGGCGTTGTACAAATTAAAACCTTTTCTGAATTGCGGTCTGTTCTGAGTTTTTTGCCGGTGAATCGTAGTGAGACTCACTGAAGAAATTTGTGCCCCTGAGTACGATGAAGTTGAAAGAACCTTGTAGGCTAAAAGCACAAACATCTCCAGAAACCAGAGAAGAAACACGTCCATCCAAGCTATACAACGAAACTCGATTAAAAGTATCAAAATTTTCTACAAAATGTTGCAATATTGTTTTTATAGCCAGAATCCCTATAATACCAAATAACTTTCCTTTCAGTTTTAAGCGTGTTCAGTTTCCCAGTCAGCGTATGTTATGTTATGCGATGACCGTAAATAAAGCGCAAGGTCAAACTTTACGCGTTCCAGGATTGGACCTCAGTATTGTTTTGCACATGGCCATTTCTACGAGTATGTTGCTTTTTCCCGCGTTAGTAGGCCCTGTAACCTTTTTGTGTACGCCCCGGCTAAGTCACCTTCTAACGTGGTTTACACAGAAGCTCTATCATAATCGACCTAGGGCTTAAAAGATAACGATTTATTTTGTTACCACTTACGAGTATTGATACAGTAATAATATAAATCGTTTAATATTCTCCTACCTAAACGTCAAATTCTTTAAGTAAAACCTATATACGCGTAAAAAATACAAATTATAATAATAAAATATCATGCTATATTTACCACTAACTGTTCGCCGCGACTTCGCCCACGTGTAATTTAGGATTTTAATTATGTTGCGCGGAACCCTAATTCTTTTTCTAAAATATAATTAGTCTGAGGTACTCATTATAACATCAGCTATCTGCTGGTGAATGTCCCGTCGAAATCGGTCCAGCCGTTTCGGAGATTAGCCGGAACAAACAGACAGACAGGCAAAAATTTTAAAAATTGTGTTTTTATATAAGTACCGTGTATACTTTCATATTAATTTAGTAAAAAAAAACTGTTAGTTTGACATTAAAAACAGACACTTCAATTTTATTTTTTTGTATAGATAATTGGCAAGCTTAACAATGATGCTATTTCCTATTTTTATTTGCCAACAAGCCGAGTTCGATCCTTGTCAATACTACTGCAATTGTAGTCAGCAATATTAAGCACTGGTATATGAGCTACACTAGATAGAGTGAAGACCTGATAAGACATGCAGGAAGTCGATGGGTGCAGGTGGCTCACGACCGTGCCACAGCAGTGAACTTGTGAAAGGCTGTAATGAATGAATGAATGAACATCGGTTACATATTAGGAAGTGAAAGAAAACATCGTATGGAAATCTGCATGTTTAATAGATTAAAATATTCCGTATTGGCGGACATTTAAAGTGCATTAACACACATTGGAGCAGCGCGCAGCGCGGTGGAATTCCCGGAAAATTTTATTTTACATGAATGAGAATAAACATTTTAAAATTTAATACTGCTGTGTTTCGTATGGTGAGCTTAGAGAACCGGAAACTTATTACTGGAAATGAGGCATTCCATGTTAGTACTCAAGGGTGACATTAATTTTAAATTAAAAAAGAACTTAATGTCTATGAGCATCCACTTACCATTAGGTGGACTGTGTGCTCGTTTTTGCACCCATATTCTATAAAAAATGAAATTACAAATTCTATTATAATCTTCCATTTGAAAAACTACCATTGATATAACCGTCAAATTGTAATATGAAGACAATATTGCCTTATCTAAAGCCAAAAATAGCCAAATGCATGCTGAATATAGAATTATATTAATGTAGAAAAAATCCAACACAATCTATTATCACTTCAGATTAGATTATGGTTTTTAAATTCAAATTAAATGTAATTTTAGCCAGTCCAGCGTGTTTGTATAATAGAGGTCAGTGATTATAATAAATTACTCTTGATTGTTTTAGTATTGAAATTTTTAATTTAAATCTTAACTTATGTTAGTAATACATTTCGGAAAAGAAAAAAGGGATTCCTGTTTGGATGCCGGTCAGGATGCCATCTCTCTACTAAAGTAGTAGTGATTAAATTTAGAGCGAAATGGCGGTGTAAGAATATACACTACACCATATCGTCTCGAGTGTGTCGGAAGTGGCGACAGAGGGAAACAACCAGGAAATGGAAAGCACAATATTTCTCTAATAACAAGTATAATAAAATAAATAAACACTGCTAATGGCAACTCGTCTGCCAAGCCTATAATCAGCACTGGACTTTTGATAGGTTATAATGGTAAATGAGAATAGGCAGAATGCTTTCAAGATTTTTTCAGGGATTTCAAGCTTTCAATTAAAAATAAAGGAAATATATAGAATTAAAAGTCACGATTTTTGCGTAACACTGATTAAGAAAAAACATCACATTTATGACTATTTTAGCTACGTGGTGGCGACATATGAATAGAATAGAATAATTTTTATTCTATATTGATATATATGATACTGACATGTAATACTTATTGAAAGTACTTTCTTACTTTTACCACTGGTTCGAAAAAAAAGTTTCCGGTCAGAACCAGCGAGAAACCCAGTAGGACTTCTATTTAAAAGCATAACTTACAATTGTTATGAAAACATATAGAAACAGCTTGGTAGCGATCACCTCAATTCCATCAATCATGTAGTATTTAGTAGTATAATAATTCTTACTAAATGAATATGAAAATCCATCATTCTCCACAATTTCACCACGTGGTTGTCATCAGAGACGGTTAAAGCAAAAGCCAGAAATATCTCAGTAGAAACCCAGACCGGCGAAGAGGAGCAGCGTTATAAAAGTCTCGTCTGTTAAAGCGATGGTTTATCCGTCTGCCATGCCAGGTCTTTCACAACGAGAAAGGTTCGTGTTCAATACCTTTACTGGTTAACGAAGAAGAAAATATACCGTAATAATATGGTACGAGTAACAGTTACTATTACAGTACTTCTAAAAGTCACAGAACCCCTTCGGCACTTGCATCATATATATCAATATTTACGTGGTAGAGCCATGCATTCGAACCAAACGGTTTGTTAAATCGTTTTTCATGCCTACAGTAAAGGCATGGAATAAGTTTCCAGCATCTATCTCTCCATGTGATTACAATGTGGGTGCCTTAGCAACAGTCTTTAAAGCAAGATTTATTCACTCTTGCCTTAAATACTATTGTTAATTATTCATTTTCATTGTTAAAGGCTTTTGTTCAGTCAGTGCGCTTCACCATCTTCGTCTGCATCACCACTTACCATCAGGAGGTATAGTAGTTAAGCGCTGGCTTATAATGGTCCATATACTAGCTGCAGATATAATATGGTTTTAGCACGAATGTGTCGGCTCATCGGGGAAGGACCACGTTCTCGCAGAATATCAGTGTGGAATAGCAGATTAATGTAGGTGTAAGGATAGAGGATCACAAACCCTTATACGTACTCCAAATGGTCCGCCAACGGACTCCCTATTGCACCTTCTTTATATTTGTTTTGCAGGAGTTTTGGTAATACTGTTCCGCATGATCTATTTTTGAATTGAGTTTAACATTTTTTGGATGTATTTTCCGTCATTCGCTAGCCGTCAAAACCCCCTTCCCTACTCCCAACTATTTTTATTATGGCAATATTTTTACAAATTAAACTAAATATAAATTTATAATACTATCAAGAAATATTTTATTTATTCTATTTAACAAAACTTACGATCACATATGATCGGATTAAGACTACAAGTTATGGAGCATGAATCAAGTCAGCGAAAAGTTTTCGATTTTAAAAGGTCTCAAAAAATGAGAGATGCTTTTCATTTATAATGCAAAAAACATGGGTAAGTATCGTGGAACACTCGGTTGGAATGAAGTTCCTTTCGTAGTATATTATTATTGATAAATTGATTAACAAATACAAATAAATGAATTACTAGCGTCTATTAAAATTAAGCGTCATTTAAAATAATATTTCTTTCAAGGTCAGATAAGAAAAAGTGCGAGGGAGATTATTTCACCTCCTAACGAGGTACTGTAGAAAGGAAGTGGTGACCGAAAAATCTTACACTTTTTCTAGCCTAGACTCCATCCGTCAAATTCGTACCGTGCGATAAGGAACTTCGTTTCAAAAATTTAATTTTGTAAGTGTTGTTTCATTTAAACTTCTACTAACTCCAAAAATGTTATTTTGTTTTACTGTACATATTCACTTACCAACAGTACCAACGCCATAGTTGCTAGAGGTACACTAAGGGACACAAGTGCTGCTTGTCTCCATGGTAGTACCGTGCCAAGCAAGTACGCAACAAAGATGCCCGCAGATGTAAAACTATTCGTCAGGGTAGTCAAGAACCCACGAATGGAAGGATCTCTGAAATAATTAAACGGAATTGGTTAAGTGTTTTTAAAATATAGTTAGAATTAGAGAAAATTAAAAACCATCAGCTATATTATGGTTGTAGCACGAATGGGTCTGCTCGACCGGAGTACCAGCTAAAATAGTAGCTTAATGCTGCTGTATTTCGTATGGTGAGTGTAGAGAACCGGAGACCCCTTTTACTAGAACCGAGGCATTTTTAATACTTAATCGAGGATAAATGTACATGTCTATGGGTTACAGCATCTACTTACCATCAGGTAGACTATGTACTCGTTTGTCACCCTATATTATCTCTATAAAAAAATTACCTCGGACCAACACAATAAGATAAAGAATGGAATAGAACACTAAGAACATTTTCACGACCAATTTGTGGTTATTGGTCGTGAAAAGGTCATAATCATATGAATATTAATATTAATAACTCTACCACAGTGAAACGGATATTGAAAAAATAAATATATTGTGTGAAATTGAACTTACGGATCAAGTCGCATGAACCATTATACGCACTAATAAATATATATACAAAATCTAACGTAATTAACGCACATCTTCAGACACCCCACTTAGTATATTATAATATAATCATAATACATATACACTAATTTCTTAGTTAAACATGTTTATGCATTGATTATTTATTTATTAAATTAGTTATACTAATTCCGGAAGAATGTTGTGGTCACAGTACAAATCCACGAACCTACATAGTCGCACACGTAGGTATAGGACAAATGAGGGTCTTGCTAGCCTAGTGGGTATTCACGCCGCCGCCGCTTGACACAACTGTAGGAAGTTATTAGTGCCGAAAAAAGCCGACAATATACGATTGTTTACGTGAAAGAAATACCTACCTATGAACATTAACAAATGTCAGAACTCCGAGTATCGAGTTGTTTAAGTCTAGTAAACATTTGATTGCATCTTTCCATCACACTTTTCAGGCTTTGGAATGCCGACTCTGAATAATTTTGTTTATTGATTATGATATAATGGCAATAGGCGATAATAGTTATAAAATGTTATGAATTTGCATAATATTTTAATTGTAATTGTAAATAATTATAAACTGCTAAAAATAAGAGGCGATACGACAACATAATTCAAAGACGGCGTGTTTAAAAAATGTGAATCAAGATTACAATAATTTAAAGAATCAAATATTTAACTTACTGATAGCCTGAGCTCTCATGCAACGTTGTATTTTAATACACTTTCAAAATGTTTTTTTTTTATAGCAGAGGGGGCAAACGAGCATGCGGCTCACCTGATGGTAAGTGACTACCGCCGCCCATGAACAACTGCAATACCAGGGGAATCGCAGATGCGTTGCCGGCCTTTTAAAAAGGAGTACGCTCTTTTCTTGAAGGTCCCTAAGTCGTATCGGTCCGGAAAAATCGCTGATGGTAATCGATTCCACAAGGAGGTCGTTCGAGGAAGAAAACATCTTCTAAATCGCACAGTGGTGGACCGCCAATCATCCAGATGGTGTGGATGGTATCGGGACTTCTGCCGCGATGTGCGTTCGTGAAATTTGGCGGCTGGGATTGATCCGAACAATTCCTCAGAGCACTCCCCATGGTAGATGCGAAAGAAAATGCAAAGAGATGCAACATATCTTCGCAGTGCCAATGAATCGAGCCGATCGGAAAGGGCTCGGTCGTCGACGATTCGAGCCGCTCTGCGTTGGATGCAGTCAAGTGGGAGGAGCTGGCACTGGGGAGCCCCTGCCCAGAGATGGGAACAGTATTCCATGTGAGGCCGAACTTGCGCCTTGTAAAGTTGCAGGTGGTGTGCCGGCATGAAATACTGTCCCGCTCTGCTGAGCACGCCAAGCTTTTTAGAGGCCAATTTGGCATTCCCTTCCAAGTGACCACGAAACTGCACGTCACTCGATATGTCGACTTCGAGGATACCGATACTGGCTGAGGCAAGAAGGGGAGTGCCTTGAAACTGAGGAGATACGACAAAGGGGTTCTTTTTAGCGGTAAACGCGCAAACTTGTGTCTTCTGAGGATTAAACTGGCCTAGATTTAGTCGCCCCCAATCCGAGACTTTGTTCAGCAAAGACTCGACTTCAGACACAAGTTTGTCCACCACCTTGTTAAATACATTTTAATGACCGTTTTCTTAATTGATATTTTAATTTAGAAAGCAATTGAGTGTCATCTTTCACTATTCTAAAAGCTTTGACTATCCTATTTTTAGGTCCTCGGCACTTGTTGTCTCACTAAAATAAACTAATGATTTAATACGTCCCCACAAAAAAAAAGTCAAGAGGCGTTAAATCAGCTGATCTGGTAAGTCAATGGACAGGGCCGCCGCGATACGTATTTGTAAAGACTTTAAAATGCTTGAAATAAGGTTTATTTTTCTTTATTTTGTATTGAATGACGGAATTCGTATTAATATAAATAAAACTGCACTTTTAAAAGTCTTATTGCCTTGAGTTACGATCCATTTCAATTTGTTTTGACTGTACATGTTTTGTGTGACTGTAATTTACGTAGTTTTAATTTATTTTTGGGATAAAAAATTACCTATGTTACACAAAATTTAAAAATCGATTCATAATTATGTTACGTGTTATGTATATATTTTAAATATATATACATCATTACAGCCTAACAAAGGCCTCCCCCCAAGAAACGTCACAAAACACGGTCCTGCTTCCATCGACTTCTTGCATGTCTTACCAGGTCATCACTTCATCTAATGGGGGGCTAGAGCTTATCACGCCAAGAAAACCTAAGTACAGACCTTGAGCTTCCTCACATGGCTGTCCAGTAAAGGACAACGTCTCAGATATAAAAGTCATCACTGGCAACAAGGACTGTGTTTAAAACCTTGTTTTTAATTTTTGAAGTATACCTGACGAAAAGATGTGTAGTAACCTCCCAAACATTGCCCTGTCGGTCGAATCTGGACTAACCTAGGTGGACTCGTAGTCGACGTATTTATCCCAAGTTAACATACTCGTCAACAACCTCGAGCGTAGTGCTCCCTGGAACTACCGTCATAGGTATGACACCGATGATACACATGACCTTTTTGACCTTGTTAATACCGTATACTTTCCATTCCAGTAGCTTGAGACCGTCTTCCAATACAGTAATAAATAGAAGAGTTTCGGTAATATAACGTCACCCTGTCTTACACCTTTCTGCAGTTGGATAAGTTTTTGCTTGGATAGCCATTGTAGTCCTACTAACCAAGCGCTTCAGCACTTTGATATACCATCAGTCAACTTGGCACCGCTGAAAAGACTGTAGTAGAGCCCAAATTACGATGGAATCAAAAGCTTTCTCATCAGATACGCAAGACAAAGTGGCAGATTGTACTCTTTGGTCTGCTGTACAATTTGCCGAAGGGTATGTATGTGGTCGATGGTACTTAAGGCTTTTCGAAAATGCCATCCTAATTACAATGATGAAAATATAATAAGTAGGTGTCAATTACAAAGTAGCCGCTTAAGTAAAAATTATTTTAGGAATACTTACGTTACTTCTCCAACGTATGTAACAGAAGGTGCTTCCATTATTCCTATGCCAATACCCAAAAGCGCATTGCCTATGAACAGCGATGGCACGTTCCATGCGTAGTACATCAGTAGCCATGCGATTACGTGCGGTATATTCACCAGAAACAAAGCCTTTCTTCGCCCGAAGTAATCTAATAACGGGCCCGAAAATATGCTGCCAATAGGTTGACAGAGAAATGCCATACTACCTGGAAAATAAAAAGAATTATATGAAAATCCTAGTTATCACTGCTGCATAAATATATTTTAAAGGGAACGTCGCAACAGCATCGATTCAGACAGGGGCCCGTAGAGGTCTTCCTTCAGTCGGTCTTGATCCTGAATCTCCAGTGACACCTACGTTGGGTTCGGGAGGTCAACAAGGCGTATGTGAACCCCGTGAAGGAGTATCACAAGAGAGTGTCTGCTGCTACTCTTTCTTATAAAAGGTTCAGACGGGGATTACGGGTCTTCCGTGGTCGTCCCGGTCCCAACGCCTTAATTCTTCGATATGTGCTACGTTAGCGCGTGATGGACTGTGTATTAATATTTAAAGGTGAAGGGTCCCTTGGGAATAAAACAGCAATTATCTTCAAACCGCTCCGTGCGAGTGTAATAACTTTCCCTATCACTTCCCTATATGTTTTCCTTCTTGATTATATATATTACTGGTAGCTAGTAGGTCCCGAACGATTTGCGTCGGTGGTTCTTCTCCTTGTGCGGGGCCGGTTCTGGCCTGCCAGCCCTCAATGTTGATTCCCGGCATGTATAGTAGTTCGTTTATTCAGTACAGCTGGTTAAGCTCTTCTGTGGAAAGGTGGTCCATCTTAATATAGAAAAGGCATCCCGGCCTTTCCCTTTTGGATGGGATGGCCCTCACGTATGTGACAGGGAAGTCTAATTGGATGAGTGCCTCTTGTATTTCAGTAAAGCCGGTGTCTGCTGGGAGTCCTCTTAACCCCATTTTTGTGGGTTGCTCTTCCCGCGACGCGTAGCATAACCACACGAAGGTGGAGTCCTCCTTGCTTATGTCCACTAGGTATTTTTGAATTCTCCTATATTCTTGCTCTGTCTGGGGTCGAAAACTGACTCCTTTTCCAAACGGACGAGTATTTGGGGCATGTCCAAGAATTTGTTGTAGGATTTTGAAGTGCTTCGTCCAATCTGGAAAGCACTCCACTATGATTGGTGGATATTTCGCCATTGTTGGCGCTTCTATAGGTGGTGTTAGTCTCGTTGTAGGTGGTGTCGGTTGCGTTGACCTCGGTGTGGCCACTATGCGTGCGTACGAGTTCGGTGCTGTAGATGGTCCCGGTATGTGTTCTGTGTCCATATCTTGGGTGGGGTCATCGCTGTCCTGTGTACTCTCTTGTTCCTTGTCTCTTATGCCATACGAGGATCGTATTGGAGATGGAGATTCTGGTGGTTGGCTGTATCTGGTATTGACTATTTCCCTCTCTGGTGTTGGTGAAGGTGGGGTAGACTCGGTTGATGATGAGTCGGATGATGTAGTACGGGAGCCTTGTTTATGCCTCTTCTCTTCCTGGGTGTCGTCTATTCCCATTTCTGGGGGTTTCCTTCTCTTTGCAGTCTGGCGAGCTGTTATTGCCAATTTTGAGTTGGATACACGCTCTATCTCACTAGCGATGGGGGCTGAGCTGGTGAGCGGTGGACTGCCTATGCGCCTCGGTATTTGGCTTAGCGGGGGTATGATTCGGAATTTCTCTGGAGCGAATAGGTTCCGTTCCATGAGACATCTGTCTGGTGGTCTTTTTGATGGTGGGGGGGGGTTCTTCCTTGTCCGAAATCTTGGCTTGGGTGTAGTTATGCTCAGCCCTTGAGCTGTCACACACCTTACTCCCCTCAGCGCGTGCAACCACACCGGGCGAGACCCCTGGGGGAGGCCTAGCGAGGTGCCCGCGAGCAGGGAGGGGTGTGTGAGGCTCTGGTGGATTGGGCGTTTCCTCACACAAGTGCGGCACACTGAAGTATTCTTCTTGTGCAAGAAGAATTACTCAGCGCTGATGCTGAGTACCGTGAAGCAGGGGTTGGCGGTGGTGTCAGCCTTCACTATCCTCGGCTTATCCTCTTCTTTTCCAAGAGTGGCCAGCGACGTCTCGGCCTCTCGGAATAAATCCTCAAAGATTGGCGGAGTTCGTCAGCCGGCGGATGCGTACTAAATCACAAACACTACTGGCGGTGAGGTGAAGGGTAGGTCAGAACCAGTCGATTTGCATCTGCGTGTGTGCTTGATAGCACACAACAGGTGTCGGGTCTCGGGGCATGCCCCCTTCACCCGGAATCTCCTCGCGGTGCATCTCTATGCACCGGTCGTGGGAGCCAATCTGGCGTTGTTGGTATGTTGCAGCGCCCCTGGGTTTGATGTGATTTGCATCGACTACGTTGTCATCTGCTGAGGTGTGTGTGCAACACCCAACAGGTCTCGGGCCTCGGGGCATCTCCCCCATTACCCGGGTATACCTCACGGCCCATCTCTATGGGCCGGTCATTGGGAGCCGATATATTCCGGCATTGTAAGTTCTCCTGAAATTTTTTCCTGAAACGTCATGAAAAAGGCGTAAAATATGGCCTGGTCCTGAAAATGGCGCCTAATTTGGCCTGAGCCTGAAAAAGGCGTCTAATTCGGCCTATGGTTGTTCATTTTTGCCTGGTCGGGTAAGTCGTCATGTGGGCGGCTAACACGGCCAGGGCGTCTAAGTTGGCCTATCTGCGGCATTGAGGGTTTTACTCGACTCTCTAATCTCTTATAGAGAGGAGTTCTCTTGGCAGAGGTCGCCTGTCCGGGGGGCGGGTGTGTAGCGGCGCGAAGTTGTTGAGATGTGATAGATTCTGCTAGACCTGCAACAGCGGTTGGCTAAGGCAGCGGCCTTTGTCTGCTGCTCAAGAGCGCGTACCAGGCCGGAGCGGCGTATGTGAGCTTCGTTCGTATGTACATCATGTATACTTTTAATTTGGTTTTCATCGGCAGCTTGGATGTCAGGACTGGACGGAGTATCGCCCGCGCACATCTGGCATTGCGGACGACGATGTCGACGTGCGCAGTCATGCGCAGCATCCTATTGAACCGGCACCCAAGGTAGGTTACGGCCTTCTGATACGCGATCTCTTGGCCTCTTAGCTTCAGTGGTGGTGGTGGTTTCCTATATCGTCGGGTGAGTAGAGCGGCCGTCTTCCCTACATTCTCGGCCATCCTCCACTCATCTAGCCATGGTGGCAGCAAGTCCAGCAGGCGCTGCATCTTGGCAACAGCGATATGGGTTCTTCTGGACGAAGTAAAGTAGGCACTATCGCATATAGCGCCAACTCTACGTCCTCCCATTCCTGCAGTTGTCCAGCGAGCGTTGGTATATCATTTGTGTATGCCGCTACAGGATCGGCGACAGACAGCTGCCCTGTGGTACACCGGCTCTTATTGGCTTGACTGCGGACTCAGCATCCTCGACACAGACGTAGAAGCTTCGGTCGGCTAGAAACGACGCCACTAGCCGCAGCATAGCAGGAGGGACACTCGTTTGTTTTTTTTTTTTTTTTTTTTTTTTTATAAGATAAGGGTGACAAACGAGCACACAGTCCACCTGATGGTAAGTGGCTGCTGCGGCCCATAGACATCTACATCTATCCTCTGTTACAAATCAAAATGTAGATGCGTTGTCACCCGTGAGGACTAAGATGGAATGCCTCATTTCCAGTAAAAAGGGCCTCCGGCCACCTGCACTCACCAAGCGAAACGCAGAGGTAAACCTCTACTTCACGCTGGTTTTCTGTGAGGTCGTGGTACTACCCCGGTTCGAGCCGGCCCATCCGTGCGACAGCAAAAGCTGCCGCGTGGCTCTACCACGTAAACAAAATTGTTGTATCATCTTGAAGAGTAGTTCAGAGTGCCATACCCTGTCGAACGCCTTCTCTATATCCAAGAAGACGCCCACTGACGTTCTCCCGAAGTTGTGCTCGGCCGTAAGCAGGTGCAGCACTCTGGTCAGTTGTGTGGCTGTAGAGTGTCCGCCCCGAAACCCATGTTGTTCCGCCCTAAGTTGTATGCACGGGTGGACTTCTTAGTATTATTCGCTCAAATAGTTTGGCTATGTGCGGTAGCAGCGTTATCGGCCTGTAACTAGCTGCTCTACGCCTGTCCTTCCCGGTTTTTGGCAAGACGATAATTTTGCCAATTTTCCAGCTCTCCGGGAAGTGGAAAGTCCGCAGAATTCCATTGTAGAGTCTCCCGATCTCTACAATTGTTCTGTTCGGCAGCTGTCGGAGTGCTGCGTTCGTGATCCGGTCGTGCCCCGGCGCCTTCCTCGGTTGCAGGCGGGTAATTGTCCTCCGCAGTTCAGCGGGGGAAATAAACCACTCTCCTGCAAGCGGTGGCGCGGGCGACGACAGGAACTCCTGTTACGCGGCTCTCCTTTTGGGCATGAAGCTCCATGGACTCCGCACTTGCTGGGTTCGGCATAAACTGCTCCTCGAAGTGCTCAGATAGGATATCCGCTCTTTCTTTGGCCTCATAACATCGCTCTCCAGTACTATTAATTAGTGCGCAGACGGATGATCTTGTTTTTGTTAGCTGCCGGTTCAATTTGTAGAGCAACGCATCTTCTTCATCTGCTTTCCATATGCGCCATACACATTTACATTTATCCTAAATTAAGAATCAAAATGCAGATGACTTATCTGAGTACTAAGATGGAATGCCTTGTGAAGTAAAGAGGGTTTCCGGTTATCTACACTCATCATTCGAAACACAGCAGCGTTAAGCTGCTATTTTACGCTGGTTTTCTATGAGAGCGTGGTCCTTCCCCGGTCGAACGGAACCATTCGTGCTACAACCACAATATAGCTGCAGCGTGGCTCAAACACGTATAAAATAAGTTTAAGCTATCCTCTGTTGCCTCTTACGACTCCCATAGGATGATATAAAATGAGCGGGTCTACAGTGTTATTACTATCATTTATTATTCTATTATTTCTGTTTTTGCACCAGCTTTGTTCCTTGCGTCTATTAACGGTGACATCGCTTTATTGTTGGAGTACTGAAGCCAATATCCAGTTATTGGGTTATGAGCTGAAGTACTTGCTGGTATTAGCAATACCATCATAAAATAGCAGCGTAACGCTGCTGTGTTTCGTATGGTGAGTGTAGAGAACCGCAGACCCTCTTTACTGGAAATGAGGCATTCCATCTTAGTCCACAGGGGTGATAACGCATCTACATTTCGCTTCTGAACCAAATCGAGGATAGATGTAGATGCTTTTGGGCCACAGCAACCTCTTACAGTGAATATGCTTAAATGCACACTATAAATAACTATTTTTGTATCTATTTATTTCAGTAATTATATTTGTTTCTTCGTTCTACCTTTAACTTTCTTCTTTTTACTTTAAAATTTTACTTATATTTAATATTTTTATACAAAGACTTCTTTCACATATTAAAAGGTCTATCAAAAATCAACAGTCTTCAGAATTTCAAAATTATCTAAACACGTTGACCTTTCTTAAGTCAAACTTTATTTTTGAAGGCTCCACATAGTTTTATATCTACAACTTTCTGAGAGTCTGAAGTCAAAATATTTATTTTAAGAAGACATTCAAGAGATTACGCACTTAGTTAAAATGTACAAATCGTTTTATTACTACTAATAACTAATGTTTTAGGTAATGTTACCGTTTCTCTTTAGATCAAATAAATGATTATTTAAAGCTTACCAGTAATTTATTATACTAGTTGTTTCATCATCATAATTCATTATCATAAATATTCATTTTTATGGATTGAGTGTGACAAACGAGCTCACAGTACATCTGATACTAAGCGGACGCTGTGATGAGTTGTCACCTCTGAGGACTAAGATAGAATACCTCGCTACCATTAAAAGGTCATCATGAAGTTTTTAATTTCAGTTTAAATGAAATCAAAAGAGAAAATTATTATTACCAAACAAGGCAAAAATTTTAGTGATCGAGTATCATTATATACATATTTAATGGTCAGATAAATGTCTATACTCAACATAGTACAAGGATAACCACAATCATTTTACATGCACCTTTCTGACGGACGACTACAATTTGCGACATCATCCAACAACTAATAACTACACATCGATTAGAGATAAACTCGGAAAGATAAGGCTTATAAATATACATATAATAATTTATCGGTTCTTTAAAATAAATAACAGGAATTGAATATATTATAAGAGATGCCTATTCTGAAAGATTGCAGTATCTTTATTAATAAATGCTGCTCAGGTCGTTATGGCGAATATGGCAAAAATGGCGCTAATTCTAAACTTTAAGCGCTGGCGATGGTTAGAGGCTTTACTACTATGATAGCCGGCTTAACAATTCAGACCTGCACAGTACACAAATACTAGCCTGAATTGACAAATCTTTCAAAATATGCGTCAGACGTATTTTTAAAACGACCAACAACAAATATAAAGGCTGATTAAAGTAAGATAACTACATACTAAAACTGACAACTACGCATGTAGTATCGTAACAAATACACTGCGTATTAATTTTCGGTCACGTGTCGCCTTTTCTGTATGGCGTTTGATCTGGCGGCGCCTTTGAATTGGCGTTGATATAACAGTAATTTTAATAAAACAGATTTAAATTTCATTGGAACGAGAGATTTAGAGTACAATAAAACGATTTTAAAATGCCAGAAACATCTTATGGCATACGACAAAAGACAATATCCAAACGTTGACGACAAACGCAAAATAGCCAGACTGGAGAAGGAAAGCAGCTTAACTTAAGAAATAAAGTTATTGTAATTGTATGTATTGTAATATTGTATTGTAAACTCAAGCGTTTACTTTTAGGCGTCGTCCTAATACAACGCGAATGCACGATCATCGCTAGTTCGCGCGAATTTTACTCGTACAAACACGCGATCAAACATACTGATCTCGAATAGGTGTCCTAATTGGCATTCGCGCGAAGAGGTCGCGCGACTTAATTGTTTGAAAATCTATTCGCGCGAACTTAGTTCGTACGAACGCGTGATAAAACATATTGCTGTCAAATAGGTGTCCTAATTGACATTCGCGCGAGGTGAAGGGCAGGGACCCGACCTATATTGATTGTGAAATTCACCACGTATCGGTCTCATTTCCAATAAAGCACATCGCAACCCATTTTGTTTCTTCAATTGCTGTCAAGACCAGCAGAATAGATCATCCATATATTTCCATAAAGAAAAACTGGGCGTTTCTGACGTCCATATTTAGCGCCAATGCCATGCACAAATTGCGAAGCGAAGCAGAACCCGCGGCCGCTCGCATAGTCAATTCGCACGATGATCGCATATTCGCATTCTATTAGGACACCCAGTTTATGATATCGCGCGAGCATGCGATGGTCGCATCGCTTACTCGCGCGATGATCGCGTAATCGCATTGTATTAGGACGACGCCTTATGGATTGATGACGAAGAAGAAGGAGAAAAAAGATTTTTAGTTAAGATTTAATATTTTAAATAACTTTACATAACAAATTCAAATTAATAATTTCCTAAAACATAAAAAACGGGGACAGAAAGTAGTATGATGGTGTCAGATGACGGAAAGCACAACTCAAAGAGAGCTGAAATGGCGTCAAATTCTCACTCAATCTCACTTGTAATACGATTAAAATTTCTTATTAGTGCTACATTTAATTGTATATTGTGTAGACAGTTTTTAAAATCTATGCACAAGGATACCTCTAGGTTGATCAATAAGTTTTTGGAAACGCAATGATATTCGAGTATGTGTAAATTGAATTTATTTTTCAACTTAATCACATTTTAAGTTAATACTCCTTGAAGAGCGTTTTGCAAGTTGGTCAGTACCCTTCGAAATAAAGGCTTGATCCTGGGACTCGAAAAAAGCTTCTATAGCACACATCACCTCATCCTCGCCGTCGAATTTAATACTACGCAAATGCTTTTTCAGGTGAGTAAAAGTGAAAATCCGGAGAATATGGTGGCTGCATCAACTGAAATCCAGTAGTTCAGATGGCAGCGCTTGAAACATAAGATCGATGGACATGGACATAGCCACGATGATAAAGCACTCCAGCACGCAATTTTCCTCGACGTTTATTCTTTAGTTCTTCGTGTAGTTTTTTTTTAATATGAAATAATCTTCCGTTATTGTCTC